AAGCTAATCTCGAATACACTAAAAATAGAGTTAAACACACAATGTTAATGCATTGGTTGATGTTCTAAAAAAAAATCCTAATTTCAAGCTAAATATTCATATAAAACCCCCCCATGTTTTCAGTTTTCTAGCTTCCAAGCACTGACATAAAACGGGATCAATTATTTTTTTTTTGCAATTGGTAAGTTGACGTAAGTAAAAGTGATTTGACATTAATTAACTCCAAAACTTTATCAATTATTTTATCAATAGACTTTTTTAAAGTGGGACTGACATTCTACGGGAGCTCGTAAAAATACATACAGGAAAATTGGGCTAAACAATTTTAAAAGTTAAAATCAAAACCTTTACGACAAAATCCTGACGACAACCCATACCTTTTATAATCATGCCAACCTTTAATCTCCTCAACCACCTCTGACCCCAATCCCCTCAGATAGTACTAAAGGAACGCTCCACGGTGCTTGTTGTTGGTAAAGTAAGTGTAACAACAATAGCTTGGCGGAAAGACGAGAAGATGCATGTGCTTCAATTTAAACTCTTTAATAGCTACATTTTGTGAATACAATAACAAAACTATTTCATTTTTTTAGAGGATCATGACCAAACTTTCTAGGAACCAACAATAAGTCAGGGGGAATTATCATATCAAATAGGGTTTCAATGTGCAATAATATCATTGCATTGTATTTTCACAGTTACCTCTCTTTCGTTATTATAAAACTAAAACTCAGCTACAAGAAGCCATTTTATTTTGCTTGTGACTAGCCATTAAAACATCTAGACACGAAGCTGTGCAGATGTGTTAGATTTCCTTGTGCTAGATATAGTAGTACTAAATACAACACAATCCAATGTTATTTTTCCTTGTCTTAGATTTAGTAGTACTAAATATTACAAAATCCATTGTTTGGTTTCCTTGTATTAGATATATAGTAGCAAGTAGTACTAAATATAACACAATCCTTTATTAGATTTTATTGTGTTAAATATAGTAGTACTAAATATAACACAATCCATTGTTAGTTTTCCTTGTCTTAGATACAGTAGTACTAAAATTAACCCAATCCATTGTTAGAGTTCATTTTGTTAGATATAGTAGTACTAATATAACCAAATCCATTGTTCATTTTCCTTATCTTAGATATAGTAGTACTAAATAGAACACAATCAATTGTTAGATTTCATTTTGGTAGATATAGTAGTACTGAAATAATCCAATCCTTTGTTAGTTTACCTTGTCTTAGATAGAGTAGTACTAAATATATCCCAATCGTTCGTCACATTTCATTGTGTTACACATAGTAGTACTAAATATAACCCAATCCATTGTTTGGGTTGGTTGTGATCGATCTACCCATCCACAAATAAACATATTCACACTTAGCATCACACAGCAGATTATACAATAGAGTGAAGTTATTCCAGTTTGTCCTGACTTGCGACACACCCCGACACAGGGACACACCTCGACACACAGGGGAGACAATTTGTAGATGATAGGAGGACACATAATAGTCTCTGAGACGGTAAGAAAAGGAGTGTTGTAGAGGGAGGGGGGGTGGTCTGGAGAAGTGGTCAACCATGGGCGGCAGTATTTACTGCAGACTACCAACTGCAGAGGTCTTTGTTACAGTGGGTGGCCAAAGATTGTGTGTATGTGTGTGTGTTGTAAGTGTGTTAATGTTAAAGCAGAAATATATTGTTTTTAAAGTTAATCCCATTGATGTTTTTCTTATATTGCAATTACTTGACTCCATCTGTGTGTTTGATCATACAATGATTACATCGTGAGACCTAACATATAACACCTAACAGGTGACACTTAAAGTATGAGACCTAAAAAGTGAGAACTAACAAAGTGAGACCCTACATGTGAAGCCAAACTTGGGAGACATAAGATGTCAGACCTAACATTTGAGACTTAAAAGTATGAAACCTAAATAGTAAGACCTAAAATTGCAGCAAACTGACAAACAGTTTTCTTTAAGGTAGTTTTTTTTTCTCTTTTCACTAATTGGTGTGTGTGTGTGTGTATAAGGGTGGCCATTACAAAATTGTTGGCCATTCTTTGAGGGTAAAGGGTAAAAAAGCCGGGAAACCACTGCTATAAACGTGTTAACAATCACTTTTGTTGGTCCACCCCACACATACACACTTTTGTTGGTCCACCCCACACATACACACTTCTGTTGGTCCACTCCACACATACACACTTCTGTTGGTCCACTCCACACATACACACTTCTGTTGGTCCACCCCACACATACACACTTTTGTTGGTCCACCCCACATATACACACTTTTGTTGGTCCACACCACACATACACACTTTTGTTGGTCCACCCCACACATACACACTTTTGTTGGTCCACTCCACACATACACACTTTTATTGGTCCACCCCACACATACACACTATTGTTGGTCCACCCCACACATACACACTTTTGTTTTTCCACCTCACACATACACACTTTTTTTGTCCACCCAACACATACACACTTTTTTTGGTCCACCCAACACATACACACTTTTTTTGGTCCACCCCACACATACACACTTTTGTTTGTCCACCCCACACATACACACTATTGTTGGTCCACCCCACACATACACACTTTTGTTTGTCCACCTCACACATACACACTTTTTTTGTCCACCCCACACATACACACTTTTATTGATCCATCCCACACATACACACTTTTGTTGGTCCACCCCACACATACACACTTTTTTTTGTCCACCCCACACATACACACTTTTGTTTGTCCACCCCACACATACACACTTTTGTGTCCACCCCACACATACACACTTTTGTTTGTCCACCCCACACAGACACACTTTTGTTGGTCCACCCCACACATACACACTTTTGTTGGTCCACCCCACACATACACACTTTTGTTGGTCCACCCCACACATACAAACTATTGTTGGTCCACCCCACACATACACACGTTAGTGGGTCCACCCCACACATAC